AAAGTCATTTACAGCAATACTGCGGTAGTTTAAGATAGACGGCGTCTCTCTACACTGAACTGTACCGCAATATGAACCGCCCCCTTGCATCTAACTGCCTAAGGAGACCGTTTGAGCAGGTCACTGTCCATGGTATTTAACGTTTCTTTGCCATCGTATAGTGGTAATTTTTCCGTTTCTCGATTGTACCCTCGTTTGGCTCAACGCAGCAGCGCGGTGTATGCGTCCTCTGCACTGCAGGCGCTTAAATATTACAGAGCCGTGGCCGGCTTAAATGGTCCCATCAAGCGGCTAGATGCTGGGAGCAATGCAGTGCGCGATACAACTGATTGTAAAGTTTGTCATGTATTTTACACTACCGCAGCATTGCTGTAAAGTGGATTCTGTGTATGAAAGACAAGGTGCCAAAAATTTTCGATTTGCAATGAAATTCGTGATTCCATTACGCTTCCTAAACTGAGTTTGAAACCTTTGAGCTCAGCGTTTGCATCGTTGACAAAGCCATGTTCATATCTAAGGTTTGGAGGAGATAGCCTCTTGCTTTAGTATAAAAGTTTATTGCGGTTTCTTCCCCTACCCTGAAGATGAATTACTTTTCGTTGCAGTTTCGAACTAGCGTAACTTGTAGTTTCACCTCTCTTGTGAGCCGGACGTGTGCGGTGGCCGTGTCGTCTGGCATACAAGTTATGTTCTGGACATATTAAACGGCACTATTACCAAGTGTTCAGAAAAGTTGTAGAGCTTTAGCGTTAGATGATGCGATCTCAGTTGTAAAGTTACTGTCACTGAATCTACCACCTGCAGCATGATACCATGACGTTGCACAATTGATCAGATGTTTTCTCATATGGCGCCACATTTCTCAGCAAACTTGGAGACACGGGTCTCTGATACCGTGGCTTAGCTAATACACGACTTCAGCTTATTAAATGCGACAGCGACCGTCCATGCCTGAAGTTCTGACACCAACCACTATTCAAGGTGGTCCTTCTGATTGGGGCTACAGCCATTCATATGCAAGAGACTTTTTCTGAATCGCCTAGTTACTAACCTATAATACAGTAATAGGGCTAGTGAACGTTTCTTCTACATGCAGCAACGACTTTCTTCCTGCCAGAATTCTCTTATTTATAGAATATAAGCAGAATCGATCCTTGTTGCCTCAAGTCAGACGGAAAATTTGCATAGAGTTCTTAGAATCCTTCCTATTCGTAAAACCGCAGCGAGCTTTGAATGTCGTCGCTTGTAGGTGTGAGTAACATTTGGCAATATTTATATTGTCTGCTTTCTGGAAACTTAACTGTACCATTCCGAATTAAATGTTGTTATATGACCACCTTGCTTGTAGACGTCATTGGGTAGTTTTGTTACCTGCAGTGCTGAATGATGCTCACTTCGTTTTCGGCCATCCGTTGCCTTGATAGTCGTTAATGACTTTCCAGGGGCCAGTATTCAGTAAATGATTTGTCATCAACATCAGAAAGTTTATTATTACACTGGCCATTTCTAATGCAGTCTAACTTTGGGGCCAATAATTTTCTTTTTGTAATAACAAATTTTGACGGTACGTACAAGATGAATTTCATTCAAATTTTTCGTTCTGAACATCCAAAAAATGTATGCACGAGTGAATACAATGAACCACTCGTTTCTGTAAGCCAGAAGCAAGAGTACAATATTTTCGTACAATGATTTCAATTGCCACTTAGATATTTCCAACTTATTAATGCTTTTGCTTGAAATAAGTTTCTGAAAGAAACAAAATCTATACCAATCATTTTTGCACTAAACAACCATCAGACAACGTATTCTACCGTAATTCAAGACTTGTTTTAGAAAAAGTGACTAAACCGGCTTACTTCGTTCTTGCCTAAACTCAGCTGCTTGTTAGCAAAGGTAATGTCGGAACGAATCGCTTGAATTAGCTCGTCTGAAATCATTTCCAGTTTTAATGTCATTATGCAGAGAAGAAAATGCAAATCACAATTACCTAACGAACCGAAACTTTTCATTGGCCGAATGTAGCCAATTATCAGCGATTTTAGGAAGGAGCCGTAAAAGTCTTTTTCAAATTTATGTAGAATATGCGTCTCCTTTAAAATGAGAAAATCATTAAACGCGAAAAGTGGTTCGAAAAAACATTAAATTCAACTAAGTGCAATAGGAATTAATTTCAAGTAGTTAGAAAACATGCTAATTGCAAGACGGCCCAAATCCTTGCTGTCACATTGGATTTATATCTATGGCGCTGAAGTAGATTCTACTTGTCCATCCAGTAAAGTACCAAGAATTTAAACGAACTTAAAAGTAGTTCAGAATCGGATGACAAGTATGGTCTAAGAAATTGGCAACACATAGATGTAGCATGCCATCGAACGAGACAATAGAAACGCGATAGACTTTGCGCTGTTCCACCATTCATGAACATCATAAAAGCACCTCTTACCATAGTTTTGCTTTGTTCCCCAAATTGAACGTTTTTACCGATACTCATAACCATTCGGTGGATTGGACCATTATCGACCTGTGCAAAACCATAATAAACTCCGTGTGGCAAACCTTCGGGCAAACGAGATACGACAGACTGTTCAAAATTGGCTGAAAAGAAAATAACTCAAAACGAGAATGAACCCTAAAATAAATGACATCAGTTAGTAAGGTATCGGTGCATTATGTTCGGTTGATTTCTTGTTCAGTATCTGCTTGAGTTTAGCGCGCACTGAGACATTATACTGTAGTCGCACCTTCGCGACTGCACATCCTGCTTTCACTGTCAAAATGACATGACTACAATAGTACAAGCGTAGAACCCTCAGCTAATCAGAGAATAAATCAACAAAGCCGTATATTTAGGAGCCATTTACGCATCAAACGATTTAGAGTGCTGGAAGATCTATCGTTTCTACTAGAGTTTCTAGACTTGTAAATTCCTGGTCTAAGACGTTTGAAATAAATCACTGACGCGTTACCGACAGCTTCCCACTGCTTCGCAAAAAGCCATATATGTAACAATTTTCACATTTTTGTTTCCGGTCGTTAAAATTCGCATGACGACAGCGTCTTTCACCTGGAAAATTAGGGAAATAAATCCGTAATAAGTATTTACTTGGCATAACCTAAAATAGACCTGAAAAATTTTCTTTCCCACAAAATTTAGTTCGTAACGTTGCATAAAGCTATTCACCGGTAATAAAGTTGGTCATTTACCAGTTTTTATTAATTTAATACGAACTGCATATGTTACCTTCGATCGAACACTAGCGCATTCTCTGAATTCCGAACTTTCTTTGACTTAACCATTTTTGATCATGGCTCGATGCTGTTTTTTAAGGTCCATGATTTACATTATTCCCGCAGAATACGATCAAAAATGTGGTTTTGATTTGTACATAGAGTATATCACATGCAGGCACACAGACATACACTTTACGTTGG